AGGTCTTCTTGGAAAATGTCCCTCTCGAGGCTACAGAGTAATTGTTATGTTCTCAGTCAAGGACATAGTTGATCTGAAACATCAGCATGGGGAATATCAGGGAGGACATTGTCAGCCCTGAAACGTCTGTAAAAGAGGAACATCACCTCAAAATGTCACGATTCATCATCTCAACAAGCACTATACTGCCTTTATCTATGAATATATTTCCTCAGGCATGGGGCCTCCACCTTAAAAATGGGAAAATGAAATAAAAATCCACTGTTGGTTGTTTTGGGAGAGGGTTTGATGTTTTGTGTTCTCTTTCTTACAGAGAGTTAGCTGAGAAGATCAAATAAAAGGCTTCCATCTGTTGGATTATTATTCAAACTTGATCCACACGATTGTAACATAGGTTCACATAAAGACTGCAAACAGGGGGAAACAGCTAGCTTGCTCTGAAGAAAGATAATAATATTTGCCAACCAGCTGCAGCACCTGTAAAGCACCTCAATTGTCATGTTATACCTCATTTTAAATCTTTATAATGAGGACTCTTTTCTTCCATATGAGTCTGCTGAAAGCCTGCCGCTGTCCCAATCTCCAGTCTACTTGTAAGCTAAGCAAAGCTCCTGGATCCAGCTTCCTGTTTAAAGATATTGTTATTCATAAAGAATAATTATATTTCCTAAATGTCCTATCAAGTAGTCAAACTGTAACACAGCCTGTTCCTAACACTACAATATTCTACTACTAAGAAGAGTATTTGATAAAAAATAATCTGGATACTATATCCTGGGTCACCGTCAGGTCTTGGCCTATAGGTAGTCAGTTTGTGCTTGTTAGAACACAGTGAGCTCCATCGTAAGGTTATGATAACGATGGCACACACTGTAGCTGTGTGCGGATAAGAGGATGAGTGTGTGCTGTTGTTGTGGGGGTCCGACCTCAGGGAGGCTGTTCTGAATGACGGTCAGGTCTCCACGGAGCTGATTCACCATGTCGGGAGGGGTCGGGTTGCAGAGATTACTGAACCATTGGTGAAGCCCCCTGGCGTGACATTCACAAGTGTGCTTGCAAACACAAAGAAAAAAAGCACAAACAAAAATGTTCTATATTCTTCTCTTTATAGCTGACTTTTGTGCTCTTTGGCTGTCATCATAAAACTACTTAAGCACTAGCATGCCATGCACGATCAGGCCACCCAGGTTTTTTAAACTAAAAGTCTACAGGCTCAATGGCAATCAGCCAAGCCATTGTCATGCTTACTGCGGCAGATAAAATAAGAACAATCTTGAGTCTTTGCAGAAGAGGTAAAATGAATTTATTGTGGAGCTAAAAGGGGATCTGTCGGCTGAAGAAGAAGAGGTAAAGGTAAACCCCAGGCTGGAGGAGTTTAAGATCCTATATTGAATGGCTGCCGCCTGGGAGCAGAAGGGTGGCCAAATAAATAAATACAGACAGACGACACCAACTCCCTGACACGCAGACACAAACAGTACAGACAGGGAGACCAGAGCATCTTTAATTATATCTGTATCTGTCAGGCACATGCACAGAGAGGAAGAATCAGTAGAGACAAATGCACTGCAAGAATGCAGACTCAAAGAAGCAAACATAATAAGACAAACACACTTTTTAGAAAGGTACCACAGGCACCAATTCACAGACACGGATTTTCAAATAACAGTAGACAATAAAATATGCAATAATGTTTCTTAGTTCCACACTGGAACAAACCAAAACGTTTCAGGCCTGGATAATCATGCCGTCGAACCATCACGCACGCTCAACTGCTGGCAGATTCATTAAATCAGGAAGATTTCAGTCCTGGCTGATTTGGCTATGCCTGTGGTTACCGTAGAGACAAATCGCTGTACAGATTCTCATCCTATAATACATTTATAAATCATCACTGACGGTTGTAAAGTTGTTCTGTGGTAGTTTAGCATCCGTAAAGTGGATCATTGCATTATGGGTTTGTTAGCAGAAAGAAGTACACGCCCTGCAATTGTATTAGAAATGATGATTACCAAATAACAGAATGTCTTATGAATAATATAAATAAATATAAACCTTCTGTAAGCCATGCCAACAGATAGTATATCAATGTAGCTGAGATATTGTCCCTTAGGTCAGGGGTTCCCAACCTTTTTTCCCAAGAGCCCCCCCAAATTACTCCTGTTGGAAGTTGCGCCCCCCCACACACACACAAGGGGGGGGGGCGTTGTGGATTCAAAAGTCGTAAATATCTACAAAATGGAGGAGACCGATCTGATCGGAGCAACTGTGATAAATAATCCAACTGAAACCGGCATGGACAAGGACCATGTTTTAAAAATGCGCTTACCCAGACAAGCCAGGTTTGGAGACTTTACGGGCAGAAGAAACATTTTTATAGAAAGAGTTATACATTTCTGTTTTTTTATGCCTTTATTAGCTACTAACTTGAATTTTTATTTTAATTAATTAATCAATTATTTTTTATATTTTATTGCAATGTAGAGACAAGGCTTTTAGTGACAATCATGTGACAATTATATGTAAAAAAGAAAAAAGTTAAAAAGAAAAAAAAGTCTAAATATGATATTTGGCCTCAAATCATCTGAGGCCTGGCGCCCCCCCTGCGCGCCCCCCCTGCGCGCCCCCCAGGTTTGGAACCACTGCAGGTAGATGGTCATGGGTCTTTTGTCCTTTGACAGAGTCTATTTTCTCATGACTGAGCATCATTGAAATGTATAAAAGCAGACTCTTCAGTCCGAGTAGTTGCACTTGGCTGTAGAGACATTGCTCTCTGTTTTCTTTCTGCCTGTTCTGCAAAACATGATTAAAGACTCGGAAGGACAACTCTTTGACCAGTTCCTTGCAAGAATTTCCACCGAATCGTTTCATTGTAGAGTTGTTGAGAGCAGTAGATAATAGATTAACCCTAGTCAGAAAGCTAAAATAGATAGAACACTCAAAAGAAATTCTGAAGCTCAAGAAATAGAACAAGATAATGTTAATATATCGAGTAGAAAAATGAAACATTTACAAGGAATATAATCATATTCAGTTCTACAAATTCAGTATCACTCAATCATTATGAGAAGGGGTTTGTAAGCAAAGGACTCTCTTTAAAACATCACTATAACTTCTATGTCAGTCCATTTGTGATAAAGAATTGCTTTGTTTTTCATTCTGTTAAATGCGCTTTCTCTGCTATAAGAGAACATTACTGCTATAAGGCCTATAGGTTAGTTTTGTCCAATTAAAACCAGTGAATACCTATGAAAACAAGTAATCTTTCTATTTGTTATTCATTGATATCACTTTGTAGATGTCAATGTATTTGTTGCTATGGAGAGAGCAGTCCCGCCTGACTGGGCAAAAGCGTAACCAGGGAGTGCTCTCAAAGTTACACTTTGTTGTACTCTGACCTTGTTTTCCGCTGACCATTGTCAGTATTAATGACTGACATGACATATCTAGCTACGCAAAGCTAGTTTGATATTACTGGGAAAATGTCAAAGGTATCAACGGTAACAAAAGGCCTTTTTAAAAATGTACCACGGGCACCAATTCACAGACACGGAGTTTCAAATAACAGTAGACAATAAAATATGCAATAATGTTTCTTAGTTCCACACTGGAACAAACCAAAACGTTCCAGGCTTGGATAATCACGCCGTCGAACCATCACGCACGCTCAACTGCTGGCAGATATCTAGCTACGCAAAGCTAGTTTGATATTACTGGGGAAATGTCAAAAGTATCAACGGTAACACAAGATGAAATAACATCACTTCTTTTCACACTTAAAGATTGCAAACCACAAGAAAGAATGTAAACATTTTACATTCTCCTTGTTCTCCTTTCAATTTGAGTGGAAGTTATTTCACTTCCAGCTCAAGTCCAATTTTTGTGCAGAGAAGGACATGGATTTAAACAGTGTGCTCATTGTGTTCCTCACATTTGAGCCTAATAATACTCATTAGCTCTAACTCAAACTGAGCCTTTTATCCCAAACAATCCAGTGCAATGTCCTCTCAAAAGCAAACTCACATACATGCTAAAAGCAGTCTTTCCAACATCTCTTTTCTTACTGTCACAGTTGGGAAAAGGGTGATCAGCAGAAATAGGGAGATACTAAAACGAGTGCACCCAGACTCATAAATCTTTTGACTCGAGGCTCATTTGTAAGTAATGACCTGCCTATGTTATATTTATAAAAATCGAGAAAATGGTACACACCTGTTAACTGCATTCTCTAAAGACACATGAGTAGCACCCACTGGGTTTTTCAGTCAGTAATAAGAGTTATTTTCTTTTGAATCCTTAATGTTGAGTTGTGAATATCTTTCCATCTTTTCTGACTTCCCCCAGTGGAATGTGCTTCGAAGTCAGCTACGTAACACAGTTACAATTTATTATTTAGATCCATTTGAGATGTATGTGATAAAAGTATTTCATTGCTGATAGCAGATTTGGAGCAAGTTTATCTTTTGATACTTAGCAGCTATTGTCAGCATTTCACTGCTGTACAGTGCGTGCAACCAGTCAGTAAAACCGAAAACAACAAACCCTTGGAGATCCATTCACTGCAACACCCCTTTTTATCACTGCTGACATACTGTGTCTCCAAGAACCTGCTTCGCTGTGAGAGGAACTGGAAGAATCAATCCTAAATTAATCATGATTACTTTAGCGCTGTATTCAAAAGACATACCTGGCTAATTATGTGTAAGAGAGTAATAGGAAGCTGAATATGTGGTTCCTTCAAAGTGGAAATTTGTCATCATGCATTTTGGACACAGCACACTGCGCTTTTTATTCCAGCTGAGATGCTCAGTTATTACTGCAGCACTTGCTTTGATAGCTGGCACAAATGTTTCTCTGTTTTTTGTGACAAGCACAAACTCTGATTTCCTTTCTAATCATTCCACAATAATCTTGATGAAGTCTAATCAAGCCACTGACACATTAAATCAACCTTTAAAAGTCCCTCTCAACTAAACCATCCTCCACTTTCTGCCCCTCACCTGTTCTGCTGCCTCTGGGTCCAGGTGTGTGTCCAGAAGGGGAACGGTGAACTGTATCTTCCTGGGGCTCCCGGTGTCCATGGTGGCTCTGACTGTCACAGAGGATGACTGAATGAAGAAGAGGAGGAGGGAGAATCCGTTAAGTAAATGAGGGTAAATAGCTCAGAAGGTTGTCTGAAAATAAGTGGGCTCCAGCTTATAAAAACTAAGATGATGGTATAGTTTCTGTCTGACTATTTTTTTTACTTTTAACTCACTTTTCCCTGATTTCCTAGCTTTTTCTTTGGCACCCTGCTTGTTTCTACCCTCTGCACCTGCTGGTGTCTCTATCCCGGCTTCACTCTTCTTCCTCTCTGTCTCCCCCTGCTCTCAGCGCTGAGGCAAGGGCATTCTGGGCTGAAACACCTCTCCTTCACTCTCATAGGCTGAGCCTGGCTCCCTTTCTAGCAAGGCCCTCCCCCTGTTCACATTTCCTTCTCTCTGTATTGGATGTCTGAGATCAGGGCTGTTCTGCAGCAGCCACTGCACAGACGGGAGAGAGAGGATGACAAAGACATATTCTCTTTCTCTCTCTTTTCCCTATTTATTAGATGGGTAGGAAAAGATGCCTGATCCAGCCTCTGCTTTAAGAGAAAGTCTTTTTTAAATCAGCTTCCCACCCATTGTGTAATATAAGAGGTTCTCTCAATCTTCCACACTTAAGTTATGTACCTACACATTTAAAATGTTATCTGTAAGTCACAGTCAACATGTTGGTATTTCCTATGTTTTATTGAAGGATACATTATTGGCTCAAACTGTAAAGCTTATAAGCTGTGAAATGCTCATCTGATCTTTGTTATACATCTGACCAGGCTTGTCCTCGCTGCAGCATGGCCAGCACAATCTGTATTGATTGAGTGTCCCTACATCACACACTGCTGGGCCCTGATACCTGACACCAGCAAAGAGACATATGGCTGCTGTATGTGTCAGATAATCAGTGCATATTGAGGGTTTAATGTGAAAAAACCTGAAAATGACATCCCCAGAAATATCATTTTGTAAGCAAACGAGTCAGATAAATGTTAACCTGAATTCCATAGTTCAATCATGTTAAGAATCAAACTTTCATTCAATATCATTAATTTTAGAAACGTGAAGCTCATTTTGGAAATTGATGAACAGATCTTAGCCGTTTCATCCAGCCACTGCCTGACTGGTAAGATGATTTGATGATTTAGAGAGGATGACACATTAAGACCAGTATATACTGTTCTCTGACTGCATGTATAAGCAACATACATTGGACATTAGGACATTTTTGCCAGATGAGACAGACAGGAAATATGAGAAAGAGCAAGAGAAGAAGGAGGGTGTTTCTCCAAACAACAAAACATTCCCAGCTGGAATCAAACCAGGCACAGTTCGGCCATATGGCACAAGCCCCACAAGGCCACAGGGGGACTTTAAATTTGTGTCTTGAGAGTCGAGTCGACTTTTTTTGCCTATATCTCCTCATTGATTGTAACTGGATGGAATAGGAAAGTCTACAGTAAGCTGGAAAAAAAGAAGACATTTTCTTCGACTGACCTCAATAACTCCCTTCCTCTATATCCATGTAATAAATGAAGACAACATCAGAATCCTTTTTTCTTTTTCTTTTTTTGACTCAGCCATGATGGTGCTCTGCTAGAGCTTTAAACAAACCATCAGGTTATTTTTTTCAAGCTAAGAAGGAAGGAATGAAAATGTATCAGTTTGATAAGATTTTCCTGAATTGTGTGTCTTTCTTTCAAGCAGAGATGTGTGTTAATAAAGGACCACATGCTCTGAATGTGGGAGAGAAAGAGAGAAAAAGAGAGAAAGAGAGAAAGAGAGAAAGAGAAAGAACAACAACAGCTGGCTGCTTATTCTCCCATACAACCTCTTTCCTGAAGGAAACACATTAGTATAATTGTACAGTCGGTGTTATCTCTTAGTAACAGCATAGTGTTTGTGTCTCTGGTTGAGCAAACTTCAAAGACAACAGCCCACAGCCACGCATCTAGTCTCCAACCGATTGGTTAAGGTCCCATTAACTGTTAATGAATGTTGTTTCATTACCAAGGAGGTTTTGTTTACCGCTAGGTTTGTTGGTTTGTCAGCAGGATTTAAAAAATAAAATACTGGGCCGATTTTCCATATAGAAAAAACCCCAAATTTAATCTTGCCGTGGAATGGTGGGTGGGGGGGAAGTATACGCATTATCTTTCACTTATGAAAACAGCCTTGGTGGCCGGACGTTCTGCAATCATCCAAAGTCCCTTCTAATCATGTTATGTTTAACAAGCCCCTGCCAAACTTATTAATTTTCATCATGCTTCCATGCTAGAGGCGTGTACTGTTTGCCTTTTTAGACTCAAAACACAATCTCTTTTATTATTTTGTGTTATTTCTAAGCACTGTATAGTGTTAAACCTTGTACGAGAAACGATAAATGGCCGCCTTAAGGACAATAAACACTTACTTCATCAAACCAAAACAATTAACATGAAGATAAACTGCCTCCATATGTCCCAGCCAAAAATGTAACCTTTCATACTTTAGCCTACAAGTAAACATTTGCATGTTATTTTCACAAGCTGTTCGAGACTGTCATTTTGGTTTCCATTCATTTTTAATTGGTTGTTGTAAGGTATTTGAATAGAAACTTGCTGGCTGCCTGATTGAGGAGTATATGATCATACTATGTTTAAAAAATCCTGGACCATCCCATAATCTCCTGAGCTTTTAGCTAACTCGGCCGCGTCAATAAAAAGTGAAAACAGTGCCCATAAATTAAGAAGAACTTGAAACACAATTCAGATCAAGAGTTATTCCTGTAAATTTAATACAGTATTGTGTTACCCAGGAAGATGGCACAAGGTTTCTTGTTTAGTTTTTTGACTAACTGTCTGTAGTGCAGTGCATTCATACACTGCCACTGGAAGCTTTTTTCAATAATCCGTTAAACAACCCTCAGAGAAAGATCTGCAACGTATTTGAATTTGATTACTGCCTTAAAAAAGAGCTAAAGATCCCATCATCCATCCATCTTCTCCCGCGCGTTATCCGTGGGTCGGGTTGCGCGCAGGTAGAAAGTTCCAGCAGAGAAGCCCCCCAACTTCCATTTCCCCTGGTCACATCAACCAGCTCTGCCTGGGGATTCCCAAGGCGCTTCCCTTGGCAAGCCGAAGAGATATAATCCCTCCGCCTGGTCCTAGGTCTGCCCCTCGGTCTTCTCCCTGCTGGACGTGCCTGGAACACCTCCCTCTTTAGGGAGGCGCCCGGGTGGCCATCCTTACTACAGTACCCGAACCATCCTTCAACCGGCTCCTTTCAACGCGAACACGAGCCAGCGGTTCTACTCCGGAGCTCCCTACACGGATGACTGAACTTCTCACCCTTAGTCCCTAAAGCCAGGTCCGTCCCTCCCTACAGGCGCCGATCAAACGGAAACATAGGCCTACAGTTTTAGTTTATGGTCGGGACTTGAAAATCTTGTGTCACCAGGGCTCCTCCAACAGTGGCAACAACAAAAACACAGATAATAGCTTCCCAAGTAGGCTAAATAGTAAAAATACACATGATAAGAGAAAATAGTTTCCTAAAAAGTTGAAATAGTGCCAATAAGAGACTCTATGATGCAAAGTCATGTGAAATAGTGATATATTAGGTAAAATTAGTGTTAATTAAATAACTTTGGGACTCCTCCCAGGACGTTCCCATGTTCACCCCGCCACTACACCCGTTGGGCAAACCAGGATTCCAGGCGCTCCCCCCTGCCACTCGACCCAACTCACCACCAGATGGCGATCCAGTTGACAACTCCGCTCCTCTGCTTTACCCGAGTGGTCCGCAAAAAATACGGCCTCAGGTCCGATGATACAATAACAAAATTGATCATGGACCTTCTGCCTAGGGTGCTCTGGTGCCCAGAGCCGTCCCTCCCTACAGGCCGATCATGCAGGCTGCATGGGGCCTCACATTGCGCAGGGGGCCTCGCGCTGGGGGCTTCGCGCAGGGGGCCTCGCGCAGGGGGCCTCGGCTTATGAGCTCGGCTTATGAGTTCGGCTTATGAGCTCGGCTTATGAGCTCGGATTGTGCGCAGTTCTCCGCGCAATTTGCACATTTCATGGTGATGCTCAGCCTCTCCCCTTAACTCCTAACAGTCGTCATCATCATGTCAACCACAACACAGAGAAATATTGATAGAAATGTGTGTGTAGTTGTTGATACATTGCTGACAGAATATAGATTACAGAATTACAGAATAAAGATTTAAGAAATATCAGTTTTTGAGCATGTAATAAGCATGTTTTGTCTTGACTATATTACAATTATATTATAATAAAGTAACATAGTATTTATATAATTGAATTGATTATGATTATTAGTAGAAGTAGTTTATTTGGATTCATTATATTTTAATCTTTTTGAGGCTAGTATTTGGTAGGAAATGCAGACGTGTTCACCTGTAAACGCATACTGAACGACATACATGCACATTTACCATTTACCTCACTGTATAAAAAAGTAACTGTGTTGATAATAATAATAAACCAGGAAAAAATAACGTCAGGAAAACGGATTTGTTTCTCGTGCTTTTCGTGAGTTTTCACTCCTGTCGGTTGGTGGGGGGGGGCCTCATCTCACAATGTCGCTTGGGGCCCCAAGTTGGCCAGGGACGGCCCTGCCGGTACCATGTACACTTATGAGCATCCTTATGTTCGAACATGATGTTTGTTATGGCCAATCCATGAGTAGGATAGAAGTCCAGTTACAAGCCACCACTCTGGTTCAGATCAGGGGGGCCTCCCAATCACGCCCCTCCAAGTGTCTCCATCATTGCCCACATGTGCTCTGAAGTCTCCCAGCAGGACTAAGGAGTCCCCTTCAGGAGCTCCATACAGGACTCTTTTCAGGGTCTCCAAGAAGGCTGAATACTCAGAACTGCTGTTTGGTTCATAAGCAAACACAACAGTCAGAGTTTTCCACCCCATAACCCGCAGGCACAGGGAGGCCACCCTCTCGTCCACTTGGGTAAACTCCAACAAAGAAGCACCCAACCGGTGGCTTTTGAGTATCCCCACACCTGCCCAGCGCCTCACACCTTGAGCAACTCCGGAGAAGAATAGAGTCCAACCCCTATCCAGAAGTAAGGTTCCAGAGCCGACGCCATGTGCGTAGAGGTGAGCCCCACCAGATCCAACTGGTAACGCTCCACGTCCCGCACAAGCTCCGGCTTCTTCCCCCCCAGAAAGGTGACGTTACACATCCCCAAAGCCAGCTTCTGCTGCCCGGGTCTGGTCCGTCGAGACCCTCTGCTTTCACTGGCACTTTTCTGGCAGCGAACCCGACCCCATAGCTGTTTCCC